AGGCGCAGCGCCCGGGCCCGGACTGAAAAGGACCTCTATCCCACACGCCAGGGTCCTGACGGAGCCGGAGGACAGTCCCAAGAAGGATTTTTCTTACATGCGTATGTGGGGCAGCCCTGGGGGGGCGGACTGTTGTCCGCATGGGGGACGGCTCAACCCACTCCACTCCTACCGCCAACTCCTCGGGGACCCGGTTTGATGGGGGGCGCCCCCTTCCTCCCCGTGGATCTTCAAGCGTCGCATGGGGGTGGGGCGGGGAAGCCCAGTCTGTCTCCCTGTCGGCGGCCCTTGGTCTGATGGGGGTGCCTGGACTCTGCCTTCAGGAACGGGCCAGTCCTGACAGGGAGGCCATCAGTGTGATCGGTGACCCAGCCTCCACCCAGCCACGTCTCCTGGGGTCCTGCTGAACCTCCCCGTCTGCTTGGGAGGCCTGCGCCCCCGCTCTGCGAGAAAGCTCCCCCCACTCTCGGGGTGACCTGCCCCTGTTGGAACCCCCAGTCTGAAGGAGGGGGCTTCGTCAATGCCATTGAAGAATGACGAAGTGTGGGGGAGGCGGCGCCGCCCCTTCTGTGGACGCTCGGTCAACTGGGGGAGGCCCAACCCTTGCCCCCCGTTGGGACTCCTCAGTCTGAAAGGAGGGGGAGCCTCAGTCTTTTCTCTGTGGACACTCCTGCCCCCGCAGATGCCCCCTGGCCCGCTGGTACCTTCACACTGCTGCTTGGGGTCCCTCCCTGGTCTGAAGGAGGGAATTTTAACTTTCCTTGTCCACGTGACCTCCGGGGAGGGAGGGTCCGGGGAGGGGAGGACACACCGCGGGAGGCAGATGGGTGGAGGAATCCGTGCGCCCTGGAACTCGGTTTGTAGGAGTTCTTGGGCAGAGAACCCCGAAGGGCACGACAAGCAGTGAGAACAGCCTGGGTGTGGGCACGGGGGCCGGGAACCCTGGCGAGCCCCTCGGCAGGGGTGAGCTGCCAGCATCGCAGAGGAATGTGGGCCGGGACCAGCTCACAGCTGGGCACCGGGTGGTTCCCGATGGCTCAAGCTTCTCCAACCTGCTCGAGGGCTCTGACGCTTGGCAGCGAAATGCCAAATTGTTTAGGAAGATCTAAAAAAAGCTCAACACAGATGTTAGCGAGGCTGTTAGGACACAGGCAGCCGCAGGCGGGGCCCCTGGGCGAGCCGACTGCACAGCCGCCTCGAGGGTGACGGGCACCGCGGGTAACGAGAGTAAGGCCGGCGCTCCGTGACCGGGCAGTTCCCAGCTCAGCATGCACCGGAGAAAAGGGCTCCTGGGAACAAGGGGCGCCTGCCGCGGAGCTACCTGAGGGAGCAGGAGGGTCACTCGATGCCCATCAGGAATGGCCTCGGTAAGAGGGAACTGCACACGGCACAGGGAAGAGGGAATTGCACAGGGAAGAGGGAATTGCACAGGGCACAGGGAAGAGGGAATTGCACAGGGGAAGAGGGAAAGGGGAATTGCACAGGGAAGGGGGAATTGCACACGGCACAGGGAAGGGGGAATTGCACACGGCACAGGGAAGGGGGAATTGCACATGGCACAGGGAAGGGGGAATTGCACAGGGAAGGGGGAATTGCACAGGGCACAGGGAAGGGGGAATTGCACAGGGCACAGGGAAGGGGGAATTGCACACGGCACAGGGAAGAGGGAATTGCACAGGGAAGAGGGAATTGTACACAGCACAGGGAAGGGGGAATTGCACAGGGAAGGGGGAATTGCACACGGCACAGGGAAGGGGGAATTGCACAGGGAAGGGGGAATTGCACACGGCACAAGGAAGGGGGAATTGCACAGGGAAGGGGGAATTGCACAGGGCACAGGGAAAGGGGAATTGCACACGGCACAGGGAAGGGGGAATTGCACACGGCACAGGGAAGGGGGAATTGCACACGGCACAGGGAAGGGGAATTGCACACGGCACAGGGAAGGGGAATTGCACACAGCACAGGGAAGGGGGGCTCTCTTGAGCCCAGGGCTTTGAGACCAGCCTGGGCAACACAGTGAGACCTCACCTCCACAAAATTTAAGAATTTGCTGGGTGCAGTGGCGCACGCCTGTGGTTCCAGCTACTCTGGAGGGTTAGGAGGAAGAACTGCTGGAGCCTGGGAGGTGGAGGCTTCTGTGAGCCGTGATCACGCCACTGCACTCCAACCTGGGCGGCAGAGCAAGATGCTGTCTCAAAAACAAAAAGCCAAAGCTCGAAGTGCCCGGTGGGAATGGCAGTTGAGCGGGCAATGACTGATTCCTACTGAAATGGCATGATGCCCCTCCGTGGGACGTGTGTGTTGAGTCCTGGCACACAAGCAGACCGTATAAGGTCACCGCACCACTGTCTGTCATGGCAAAGGCCTGGAATCGACGCAGATGCCCAGGAGCCGGGTGTGGGAGGAAGAAGTGACGTAACAATAAGGAAGTCTGGCGTGCACGGTGTGGGAAGAACCCGCGATGCTTGCCCCGTGGACACGGCAAGGCGGAAGACACATGAGTAGCACACCCCATCTGCAAAAACGGGGGCCGTGATGCATGTTTGAACCGGCTTGAGTATCCGTGCAAAAGCTAGGAAAACAACTCAGGAGCCACTGACGGCTAACAGTGGCTGCCTGATCAGGGAGGCAGAGAAGAGATGCAGACAGGGATGAAGAGATCACTCACTAAACGGCTTTTAAAACTCCGTGATGTTTTGAATCATGTGGACGAATGCAGTACCTACATCCAACATACAAGAAAGCCTAACACTGTGTGGATGACGCGGTACGTATATCCAACATGCACGGAAACCCGATACCGTGTGGATGCACACAGCACCTACATCCAACATGCACGGAAACCCGATACCATGTGGATGACGCAGCACCTACATCCAACACGCACGGAAACCCGATACCGTGTGGATGACGCAGCACCTACATCCAACACGCACGGAAACCCGATA